CAAGTCCATGCCTATGAATTTTCCCCTTAAAAAATCAGTGCACAAAGATTTATCTATAAGGACAATTATCCCAGCACTGTTCACAGTATTAGGAAGAAAAATGGAAACTAAATAATATTCAGGAACGGAGCACTGGTTAAATTAGTAATTCTACATCCTCCCGTTTCCTACTGGAGAAGGATCTGGAGAGTAGCTGGAAGCAGCCGTTCACATACCCAGCAAATGAACGTCTACAAACGTAACCTAAAGGAAAAATCATACAAGAAGACACGAGTGTATGTCCCACAACAGTCATCAAAGCATTGTTTCAGTGCTTGAACTGAATCAGTGGGAAAATGAAACATCCAGCAGCGGGAACAAAAAATTATGGCAAGCTGGGAGCTCCCAAGAAGAGGTTTTCATCTTCTCGTAGGTGCCACATACTCCCCGAGAATGGCCTGGGATTGTCTCTCACAAAATTGCTGAGTGAATAAATAACCATATCACCAAGCACTCTGATCAAAGATTCTATAGAAGAATTCTGATCAAAAGGAGAAAAACACAGAATTTCAAATTCTCACAGACTCCAGACTTTCTGGAGCTGTGGAAGCTGAATGAACACCCAACATTACTGCCCTGAGACAATCTTTAAACCTTAAACAAAAAATCTTAAAACCAATAAAGAGTTCAGCTTAACTAGGAAAGAAAGTCTGCCCTGAGCCTCGTGCTCTTTTAAAATCTACCTGCATGGGATCAAATCGACAACGGCAACTCGAAAGGTTAGACAGGAGCCTTAGGGAACAGGGAGTTTGTGGTAATGAGGCAGGAACAATTAGGAAAAGGAGGGTGAAAATGGCTGTATGACTTGGAGAAGGTCCTCAATGACAGTGAATTCTACGTGTAGAAACCAGTGAATTGGGGTACATTCTGCTGTATGTATCCTCAACAGCAAAAATAAAATGAATTAGAAAAAAGTAAAATAAAACCATAATTTTCCTTCTTAGAAAACCCTTAAAGAAATACGGACTACATGCACATTGTAGAAGACATTTCACACTCTCTGGGAGAAGAAAGCAGGTCTGGGCTGGCAGGCGGCTGGGACACATTGCTGAGTGGATAAAGCAAGCTGCAGCATAAGGTCAGGAGAATGACGCCACTGTTTAAATAAAATTTTTACATATGTTTTTGTATGCATAGATGAGGTCACGGAAGATATAAATCCAACCGGGAACAGTCATTACTCTCCGTCTGAAATGAGGGTAAAGTAGGCAGGCGGCTTTTCACTCAGTACCTCTCTCCTCTCCCCTGTACTGAGTTCTTCCCCCTCCCCTCCCCCAGTATTTAGGAAAGTACACTTGAAACTTCTTGAAGTTTTGAGTCCAAAGTACAAACAAGAGTGTCCATGAGATGCAATGCCCTGGGAGTCGTTAGCGACATTAACAGCACAGAAAGCAGCCCTAGGTGGGCACCGGAGAATGGAGGTCTCCACACAGCAAACACACACAGAATGCTCCCCATTTTGTATGACACAGGTAATGCATGTTGATTGAAAAAAGACCAGAAAAAAGAGATACAAGACTGTTAGCAATGGGTAGTGGGTAGGGCCAGTGAAGACCCTAGGTGTGAGGCTATGATGGCATTTTTTTTTTTCTTTTTCCAAATGTATTACGTGAAATATGCATTATTCCGAGTCAGAAATAAATCTTTTTAGTCAGCTGATAGTACACAGATGTTAGGGAACACGCACACATGCAAACAGGACAAACAATTCCTGCAAGCCGCAACATTCCACACAGCGCAACAGGGACATGCGACCCACACAGCACCGTCACGCCACGAAGGCACGGAGCAATGGAGTCACCTTGCTGTAATAGGAAATGGCCTCCTTGTACTTGTCGATGATGTCCTCGGGGCTCAGACAGTTCTTGGCCCGGCCGATCTCGGTGCTGGTATCGGGATTGATGCCATTGGTGGTGAGGGCACCTGCAGGCCAAGAGGAAGACAATAAACATGCTGCTTTCACAGCCTTAGTGCCTTTGTTATTTTTAAAAGGGAGGTACAAACCAGGTAACACTGAAATATGTCCTACTGGAATTGAAACAATCAAACAGGTTTAAAAGTCTCCATGGCTTGGACACTCTCTGCAACAGCTCTTCCCATCAAAGCCCTGGATGAAATGTTAATGAACCCAGGAGAAGGGCTCCTCCCTGTTGAAATGTTTTGACTACAGAACATGAAATGCATTCTAGGACATTCCTGTGATAACTAGCTTATACAATAACTAGCTTAGTGATCTTGAAGACAACGGTTCTATGGTTTTAAGCACCTGGTGCCAGCCAAGGACCACACTGCTTCCCCAAGGAGAGGAGCCACAGGAAACAGTTGGGGATGCACAGCACTAACCGCGTAACCTATCAGACGAGGCTCCTCCCCGTGGCTGGCATTCCTGCTTCTGGCCGGTGCTGTCAGTAAGCAGGACCCCGAGTTCCCTAACATCAAGGTCAGACGGGGAAGAGCTGCAGAAAATTCTCCATTCAAAGAACGTAAACAAGGGCACATGGGTGCTGACCAAAAAAAAAGGAGAAGAAGAAACTCTTTGGTTTCATGGAACACTCAAAGAAATGCTGTCCTGAACAGCAGAAGCAGGAAAAGCGGGGCTTCCCCTAAGCCACTGTTTGTGGACCTTCCACACAGCAAGCCTCTGCCACAGGCCCCACACCCCGTGGCCCAGCGGGAAGTCAGAGCCCCGGCGGCGGCCCACCTGTCCAGCTGCACGGGACAGGGCAGCCCTCCGGCCAGCCACAGCCCTCCTTGAGGCTGCTCCTCAGCCGAGGACAGGGGCAGTTCATCAGCTCTGTCTCCCATGGAGCCCTGGCTGGGCTCCAACCACTGACCTTTTCTATTAGCAGCGGAACAAGGACACTTACGGACAGACAGATGGATGACAGGTAGACAAATGGACAAAGAGACTCAGAGAAAAGGGGAACGAGGAAAATTCCATGTGCAGAATCTTCTTCCGCAGGGAAGAAAGAACTCTAGCAGACAAGTGTGAAGAGGCAGGTGGTGTGGGATTCTGTTTCCTTCCCACTTCGTGAAAATCACATGAGTGATGAGAGGGCAGAACTATAAATCATAGAAAACGATGTGCTTGAAAAAAAGATCTGAAATGTGCACTTTCTTAAGAATAGACCCAAACTGGCAGGGCCCAACAACCTAACTCCTTGGGACCCTGGCGGGCTGAGAATTCCATTTCCAGACCCCAAGGCGTCCCTTTGGAGGAGTGAGCCCTTACACGGGAGAGCTGCCACCAGAGCAGCGGCACCATTTCACACTTGCAGTGAATCTGCACCTGCTAGGGGCTTCCACACGTGTTTCCATCCATAACCTAGCAACCCTGGGACGCAGGCTCTCACAGTGTTCACAGTTCTGAAGTGAAGCAACAAGAGCCTACAGAGTTTCAGATTCTTCCCGTTGTTGTCCAGTGCCGTCAAGTCAGGTCCGCTGCACAGGACCCATGCACAACAGAACTAAGCACGGCCCGGTCCTGCGTCATCCTCACAACCGTTATATGCTTGACCTCATCAGTGCAGCCACTGAGTCAATCCATCTCGTGGAAGGTCTTCTCGCTGTAATCTCACCAGCTGCCCAGATTATGGCAGAGCTAGCCAAAACAAGGGGTTCGAACACAGCAGAGCTCACGAAGGTGCCACAGGGCTGGGCAACACTTCATTCTGTTTTCCACAGGTCGTGGTGAGTTAAAGCTGACTCTACGTCCCCTCACAAGTCACTCCAGAGTATGTTTAATCTGGGGCCTATGTTCTCCACATGGTTCTCTTTCTCTTGTGGTCTGCGTGTTTCATATGTATAATGCATGTTTCATGCATAAATTACTAATAAATAACAGGCAGCCCTGACTTAGCTCTTCATTCTGACAAGCTAGCTCACATCGCTGCGTTTTACTCTCTCTCTCTTTCCAGTCAAAGAAATGAAGGGAAAAAGAATTGGGATCAGAATGGGGGCTTCTTCACTCATCAGATCGCACCTCACCTGTCCAAGCAGGACATGATCAAATGTTAGAGAAGCCTCCAGCCACAAACAAGGAGCAAACGTTCCATCCACTTTTGAAGAAAGGGCACCACTGGTAACAGGGCTCGTTTACTGACCAACTCGGCGCCAATGTGGAGGCTGGGTGAGGAGATCCATGTGCAGCGGCCAGAACAATACGTTCAATCAGATGGTAACAAGCATATAGCTCAAAAGAGAGCTCAGAGCAGATGGATTTAATCTGTCACTAACAGAACTACAAGCTCTAAAAATATCCACACGCACTAGATCTGATCTTTGTTCCCACCTATAAAGTTTGACAGCACACGTGGTCCAGTGTTGGGAACTAGAGAAGCCAAGAGCCATCAAGACCCATAGCACTTGGTCTACAGACAGGAAGATCAATGCCACGGGGAAGCTAACATCCAGACTGGAAGGAAGAGGAAGGAAGGGCCCAGTTAAGAAGAAGTACGAAAAAAGATTGAAAAACCATCAGAAAGGTTCTCAGGTATCAATCCAGTAATCACTTAATCCTTCATTCAAGAAAGAGCTACTAAGCTCTCATTATGTGCACAGTTCTATACAAGAAAGCCACAAGCATGACGGGGACAAGGAGATAAGAATCTGACATGGGCAACAATGCACACATATATATATGTGCATATGTGTGTGTGTATAAAAAACAAACCCACTGCTGTCAAGTCAGATCCGACTCATAGTGACCCCTCCTTGGACTTCTGAGGCAGTATCACTATGGAAGTACATTGCCCAACCAAAACCACCAGCCTTCTGGTTAGCAGTCAAATGCCTTAGGCAGTACACCACCAGAGCTCCACACATATACATATGTGTGTGTGTGTGTATACATATATGTATACACATATACGTGTGGATATATAGATATCTTCCTTAAACATTTGAAAATATGTTCAACTTCACTAATGATGAGATATTATACCCAAAAGACTTGAAAGCAGAGACTCAAAAAGAGACTTTACACCAATGCAGCACCATTACAACAGCCAAAAGGTGGAAACAACCTAAAGGCCCATCAGCAGATGAACAGATAAACAAAATGTGACCCATACATACAATGGAATACTACTCAGCCAGCAGAACTGATACACGCTACAGCACGGATGGAGCTTGAAGACCTTATGTTGAGTGAAGTCAGTCGATCACAGAAGGACAAATACTGTAGGTTCTCACTTACATAAAAAGACAAGAAATGGAAAATATATCGAAACTAAAGTCTACGGGTGGTTACCAGAGGTGGGAGGGAGCAGGAAAGAGGGAGTGAACAGGCACAGAAAAATACCATTGATCTGGGTACAGTTGTACAGGGTATTGTTATAACTGCTATCAATATGCTGTACAATTGTAAAAAGTTGAACCGGCAAAAATCATGTGATATATTTACAACAATGACAAAAAAAAGAGTAGCTGATGAGGCCCGTTTATGTATAACCAAAAACTGCATGGGATTCAGTTTCTTGGTTTGGAAGTTTAAGGTCATGGTTTAATTGGCCCAATAACGTTTTTAGTGCTCTCGTTCTACTTCCTAGTACACCGTGTGGTGCCTGAGATCATAAAAAGCTTGCAAGTGGCCATCCAAGTCACAACAACTGGTCTCTCATCACCTGAAGCAACAGACGAAGAAGAAGAGTGAGGAAGAGGAGGCAAATACAGAATGTGTGGCTAATGACCTCCATCAACAACTGCCTCCTTCGCCAAGAAGAGACCACCATTACTGAACATTTTGACCAAAGATTCCATAGAAGAATCCTGATCAAAAGAAGGGAAATACAGAACAGATTTTCAATTCTCATGGACTCCAGACTATCTAGAGCCATGGAGGGTAGAAGAACCCCTGAAACTATTGCCCTGAGATAATCTTTGAATCTTAAACCAAAAATATTCCCGTGAGTCTTCTTAAAACCAAACAATATGTCACCTCAAGCATTATAGTCTTTTAAGACTATCTATGTGGGGTCAAACTGACACCAACAATTCCAGAGATTAGACAGGAACCCTACGGGGCAGCGAATTTATGTTCATGTGGAAGGAACAACTCAAACAAGGAGAGTAAAGATGGCTGCAAAACTCAAAGAATGCTATCAATTTCACTGAATTGTACATGTAAAAACTGTTCAAAAACTAGAATGTGTGTTAGAAGTGAAAAGAGCATTAAAACATACACATTTGGGAGACAAAATGAAGATGGAGAAGACAAATTACAAAATGAAATTATAGGCCATGAGCAGAATGACTCATTCGTCCTGTCACGGCACCTCCTGTGTGCCAGCGCTGGGCTGGGTCCTGGAACCACAACACCCCGGTAGTATGTGTTGCCATTGAAAAGTCACAATCAGGGCACCATAATAAGAGGAACTGACGGCTGCCAGACCCTTATTAAAGACCCAATCTAATTTAATAGCACGATTTTCCTCCCCAGGAAGTGAAAATCCTGGAATGAGAGTGGAGATGTATCATTAAAACAATCAAAGAGAAACAGAACCAGGAAGATACATTGAAGGAGCTGTCAGTTTTAAGTCAGCTGAAAAAAGACAGAAGAATCATGATAAAAATTCTACAGCAGAAATCAAAGAAGAGAAGACTTCAACAACACTGCAACCCAAGCACACACGAACACTCTCCAGCACAGGCCGTGTGCTGGGTCACAAAATAAGTCACAACAAATTGAAACTAACTGAAAGCATATGAAGCATGTTCTCTGACCATGAATTATACTAAAAACCAACAACAAAAGGAAACTTGGGGAATATTTGGAAATTAGACAACACACATCTAAATAACTAATGGATGAAAGAAAAAAATCACAAGGGAAATAAGGAAATACTTTGTGGTGAATGAAAATGAAAACACAGCACACCAAAACCTATGGGATGCAGCTAAAGCAGTACTTAGAAGGACATTTA